GGGGGGGGTTCTTACGTAACTGGAGCTGACCTTTTGTGTTTGCGTTTATTGTTGTTCGTCAGATAACTCGGGAATCCTTAAGTGGTTGTCTATGATTTTCAGTGGGCAAGTCGCCGGTGAAAAAACGGAGGTCAAGTTCTGATATGGGCCTCGTGGGGGGTTCCCATGTCATTGAATTTGACCTTTTGTGGTGGTCGTTATTGTTGTTAGCGGGATAATTCGTGAATCTGCAAATGGATGTTCACGATTTTTGCTGAGCAAGTTACCGTTGACGATAGGAAGATCAAGTTCAGAAAAGGGCGTCGTGGGAGGTCCGTACGTTACTGTAGTAACACTGGTCACTTTAAATTTGGAAAAGACACCAGCAACCCCAAGTATGAAATTCCAGGCAGTTAGCATTATGGAATTATTACATTTTCTCATTAATTATGCAAATTAAGTGTTAATTTACATAAGTTCCTGAGCAAGCTGCTAGGGGGCCCAAGCTCACGCCACTTCTTCCCCAGCAAAAGAGCTACCTACCATCCAGATTTCGTCACCCCAGCATGTGTAGATCATGAGATATCAAAACCGGAAGTTCAGCTGCAGTACCACAACAAGCCGCTAGGGGGTCCAAAGTCTAATCATTTCCAGGTCCCATCAAGACCTACCCACCTACCAAATATCAAGATAATCCATCTAAGCTTTCTCAAGTTATGCTGTTGACAGACGATGGGCTATTAAAAACTCATCTGTTTTGCCTGTAATCCTCAAATACACAAAGGGGAGATAGAACCCCCAAGCCATCTGCTGATACACGCAGCTAATACCAGGTAACAAGATGACAAGTATTTAGAGGCCAATAACAGGTCAAACCATAAAAAATGTCACACTTTTTCGCCATATCTTAAAAATATACAATCTTCTGTCCTTCTTACCAGAAAACGGGGCCTTTCTGAGCAAAATTTGCCCAGGAAAAAAAATTATCTAAAAAAGAAGTACCAAAATAAATGCCCTCTACGGACGTGACCTGAACTGCAGCCGACTCACCCGGAAAGCCAGTTGCGTAATACGGCGCATTTATTCACGAAGTGCAAAAGCTTCACAATTTAAATCATACAGTCTCAAACCCGATACATTCCTACACCACACAGCGCATTTTACGTCTGGCTGACGCTCTTATCAGGCTTTCTACCCAGCCTTCAAGAATATTCGCTGTACTACTTTCTATACCCGCGTCACAGACCCCGGAGGTCGCCCATTAATACTGTGTGCTGCTACCTTACAGCATTGCTAGCTCTGTTCTTTGGGCATAGCAAAAAAGACCCATTTAAAGCCTCGGTCACAACCCGCCGTACGTGCTTTTTCTCCGTCCTTTTTTTGGGAGGCTACGTCTGCTACGTTTTTTCTGAAAACGTAGGGAAGGAGTGGCGTCTACGCACGTCACTCGCACGGTTTTGCAAGGTGTAAGAGTGTGGTCTGCACGCCACGTCTGGCCGTGAGCGATTGCGTGCATCGTACGTTGCGCAAGTGGTAAGTGAGTTGTACGTGCTTACAACGTACGATCTCTGTGCGATTGCAACTTTACCATAAGGAGGCCGTACTCACACGTGCTTCTTCCGCACGGCACGTACGGGGCACGCGCGTCGCTTGTACTCGCACGCACGGGTGGTGAATCCGAAGACCACACGTAGAAAAAGTTTTACATGCACTTAAACTTCTACGGCGTGTCTGCGTGATCCCAAATCCGTAGGATTCCGTACGGAGGCGGTACTCACCACGCACGGATGCCCTACGTTTGCCCACGTTTTTGCACGTAGACAGCACGCAGAAGCACGTACGGCGAGTTGTGACCGTAGCTTTACACAATTTTATAGTGGTGTATACCAAACTATGTCTTGAGTTCATTTGGCATTTGCCTAAGACACATCTATAACAAATTTCAGGTCGTTTGATTTGAATACAAGGGCATAAAAGCATTTTTTCTGTAAAGAGCAGAAAGAGCACAAATTCAAAGTAGTGTTTACCAAAAATGTGAGTATAGTTCTTTGGACATACGTCAAAGGCACTCCTATACCAAATTTTAGGTCATTTGGTTGTAATATTAGGTCACAGGAGCCAAAAATGTACATTTTTTGTCTGAAAATAGCAGAAAAGACCTGTTTCACACCATTTTCAAGTGATGTATGCCAAAGCTGCAAATGTCATT